CACACACACACACACACACACACACACACACACACACACACACACACACACACACACACACACACACATCTAAGAGTACTGGTGATTGCGAGAAATATCCTTGGTAGGCTTGAGGGCTCTTAATGCTAAAAGAACTGTTTGATACCTGCAGTGGACATAGTGCAGATAACTAATTACATCAAAACAGTGCTGTAGCAACACAAAAGGGGAGTTTATTAAGTATTTTATTGTAGTGTGCATATACTGAATTCTTCTTATCTTGCCTATCAGAAGTACTGATTATTTACAAAAAACTAGGATGAACCTAATACATCTAAAATTAATTACAGCATCACTAATTTGCTTGTGTTATATCTCCTCGACTTGTGTGCAACATATTTAATGTTGCTCCATGCATGTAGAAAACAGCGAAAGGGCCTAATTATCTCGCAGACATTTCGCCTTTAATGTGACAATGTTTATCAAAAGTTTTTGTAAACCCACCATTGTAAATAAGGATTTAAAACTTCTGTATAACTTTTAGCCATTAGATTTTGCTACGTTTAATTGTATATTCATGACTTTTGGCAGTTTTTATTTCATGGCATGAGGTACTTGTGAGTCTGTAGCTTCTTGTAATCTTGACAGGAGTAATTACACAATAATGTATGCAAATTTTAGGTGCCAGTAATTGTAACTACATAAATTTAAGAAATCTTAATTTTATTATCTAAGTTAAAACTGTTACGAAGAAATATATTTTCACTCCAAAAAAAAAGTTAAAGTCATGTATTTTATTTTCTTGTAGCCTAATTTGTAGTTATAGTACAACAGAAGCAAATCGGTGAAAAGAATAATTTCAGATTCTCGGATGTTAATTTGGACAAAACAAAATTGATTAGACAATTGGTACAAAAATGTTTCAGTCTACATATGACAAACATCTTCATAATAACAGCACTGGTATTTTCAAAAATTATGACTATTAAAACAAATTTGCTACTTACAAAAGGACTTTCCGTTTCAAACTCCTAAAGCCTAAGTAATCGCAACTTGTAATTTTATTCTCTAGCAAACATATTTTGAGACTTGTGTAACAGCTTTATTCTGCATTTACCCATGAAAGTTTTGTTTTAATAAAGTTTCTGACATATCGCTAAAGAATGGACCAAACGAATTGTATAAAACAACGAACTGCACGAGGACTGGCTACTATGATTGTAAGTATTTAAGCTAATTGGTAGGATCCAACAGTTATAGGTACAAGTCCATGAAATGTGTACATGTATATCTCCAAACCTTTATGGACAATGGCCAGGATATAGATCTTTTTAGGCTTTGCGGGCCGGAGGGGTCATAGTAAAATTAAGTAGGGATTCATACATGATCAGATTGGCTTTTGCTCAATTAAGTTTTATTTTTAATTTTTATAATATTAAAAAATTATATAATTTTTTAATAAACTATTGGTGGGCTGGATAAACTGAAGATGTGGGCCATAGTTTGGAGACCCCTGTTGTAGAGCAACGGGTCCCAACCTTATTTTTTCAGTGACTGTAATGTTGTAGAGCAACGGGTCCCAACCTTATTTTTTCAATGACTGTAGTGTTGTAGAGCAACTGGTCCCAACCTTTTTTTGAATGAGAATTAACTAGTTCCAGTCCTAAAATTTTAAATACATTTATAATCTATTGTAAAACAATTGAGTTCAGTAGTTGTATTTTAAAACATTTTCCAGCTGTCTTGTAGACTGGCTGAAATCTTCATATTAACAGGAATTGGTCCACGGACTGGTTAGGAAACTCTATGGTAGAGTTTTGTAAACGGTGATACCACAGTACGGCAAGCTTCAATATAGCATCGGCAGTTTTGTCAAAAACATTTTGTAGAAATGGTAGAAAGAACTGTAGGATAGTTTTTTTTAAAAAGCAGCCTGCTTACTTGTAAAACTTAGTCACAGTAGTCGCAAACTTCACTCGATCTATTCCAAAACTTATAAACCAATGGTGTTACTGTTTTGTGGTGTGTAAATGAAACAGTACTGGAAAAACTACCCATGGTTAAAAGTTTCACTAACTTGATTAGACACCCTAATCCAACTTCAGTATGTATAACTAAACAGTTACAGGGACTGTTGGTATTTTTCACTGCAGGGACATTTAGCATGAAATTCTGAATCTGTTACACAGCTACAAAACGTATTAATCATCACAATCCTAGGCCTGGCGAAGAATCATCTGCCGATGATAAGTTCCTCATTAGAAATGTATAATTTGCAATACGCGAGTTAAAATTGTCAGTAAATGTCACTGTGACGGCAAAAGAAAAAAAATTGATTGTGGCAAAAATTGAATAAGTAATGCTGAAACTAGTAACATAGTGGTGAACTAACAGGTTGTGGTTAGTAATACTTACAAGTGTTGCTACAGGCTCTCTGTACCAACACTGATAGAGTTGCCACACCTTCTTTGATATAGGCTAATCACTAGAGTTTTCAATTAATACTGGAGCTTGTACAGGTGAAATTGAATTATAGTACTTGGTGTTAACTTTTTCTTTCACTTATGTTCAAACTTTATAATGCTAGATCTTGCCATTAGTGATCATGTTCTTTGAAACCCCCTACATGCATTGCATGTATTCTTGCAGTTTTAAGTAAACAAAAACATTTACAAAATAGAAATTAATAAGCAATGAAACAGACAAAGATATGGAACATTAATCATTGTCACTTTGGTATCAATTTCAGATCAGTTGAACTGAATCTTACATATATTTACAGAATCAACGATAGCAATCATTTCAGTTTACAATACATAATAACATTAAAATCTGTTCATTAACTACATTATTTATTTATTAATGAATATTTTAAAACTGACCACTTAACTTATTACTCCCAACTAAATCTAGAAAGATTAACTTTGAATAAAATCAATTTATTTTCCTGTTAGTACTTTTCAGAATAGGAACATCTTACATTACCCTTACATAAGAGATGATGTACCTATGAATATTTATTTAAATACATGCTCTATAAATCAGAACACCTACCAACAGAGACTTGTAGAAACAGTTTGCCTGGTTGGGTTTTGACCAGCAGACCAAAGTTTATTTTAACATAACATTAAGGACAGTAAGGGACCACTTATTTTTCTTTAAGGCTACCCCTGATAAAAAGTAAAAATTTCAATCAACCCTTGCCTTAAACTTGTGAGGTGCCAGCCTTTCTTATTTCTGTTGACAACTCATTACACAAGCTAATCACCCTGTTTAAAAATAAAATTGTCTTAAATGGAGCACAGCCTGTTTTTGTACTCCTGTTTGTCAGTCTCTATTTTAGCGATGAGGATACGGAACAGTGCTTTAATAATACGTTGTATAACAAGCCAAATACAAACACAGTGTACAAGATGCTTTTCATTATAATGGCATTAGACAAATTTTATGGTTGGTTCTGGCTACTGTACAGATTAATTCAAAGCTCATTTCAATAAAACAATTTTATTTAGCACTGATAAATGTTATAACAAATAATTACAGGTTTCCAAAATGCAATTGCATTAAATTTCAACATTCCATAACACTGATTTTCACACAGCTGTCATGGTCAAAGTAAAAATTACATCAACTTTTGTTTTTTTACAGTCATAACCCATTTATCTGTCAGAAGCAAGACAAAATTCGACCTTAAAGAACTCTACTGATCAGCATTCAAGTTTAAAAAAAAACACACTAAACTACAGTACTACAACTTTATAGTTATTTTTTTACTACAACTGGGTTTTTTATTTTTTTATTACAAAGCTACACCATGGACTATCTGTGCTCTGCCCACCATAGGGTCCGCTGACGGACCAGGAATTTTTTTTTTTACGACTAAAATCTCTAATTAAATGGTGCTTTTTTAAGAAGCTTCAATATAAAATAAGTCCATTAACAAATATTTTATGCATGTTTAGGAAAAAACACTGATCTTCATTCGTGCATAAAATATTACGTAATCTCTTCACACAATTACTGCTTAAAGTTGTAACGTAATAATATAACTTAAAATGGATGCCACACTAAAATAATAAAGTTACTTTAGAGGTAACTAAAAATAAACAAATCAAATCCAAATTAAGAGCATCTAAATTTTGACATAAAATGTCTGCCATGAAAATATTTTTTATTAGTTTACATTTTTTAATAATCTGTTTTTTATGGGAAGATTTAATTTAAACTAATCAAAACCTACGCTGCGGCAATACTTTCTTCACTGCGGTTTATTTTAGTTACAGTTGTGAACATTCTACGAGAACATATTTTGAATTTAAAAAGTTTTAAGTCACGTACACGAGTAATTTTTTGTTTTTTTTCAAGCTGAAGTTTCACAATTTTGGAAAGAAATTACATCAATATCATTTGCACTAAACCAATATTTACTGTTCTAATGTAATGTGATTATTTCTTTGCTAGTGTTAACTGGTTCACAAATTGTTAGGATATTTGCCTTTACTAATTCAGTTACATGTTAAATCTTCTTCTGGATTTGAAATGTGTTGAAATCCACGAATACAAACTGCGGGTTATTTTAAAAGTCTGAATGTAAATTCCCTTAATCTAAAACATTTAATGCAGCAAAATACCACGTCCAGACTGTTTCATCACATAGGCAACCAATAAAACAAATCTTTATTCTGCCTAAGCCTAAAAGACAAGATGCCTAAGCCTAAAAGACAGGAGTCGTGATATATTTATTAGAGAGCAAAGAACTATATTACAACGTACACAGCTCACATAAAATGTCATCAGTATCACTTAGAAACACTCTAGCTTGAGGAGGTAAGTAAATGTTAATATTATTGTACAAAAACAGCAATTATTATGTACCAATGGTTGATCATGATATTAATGCAGTTATAATAACAGTAAAGAACATTTACCTTATCTGCTGAAAAATACTGAGTATCACATGAAAAATTCAGTCTTGAATTAGAAGTAAAATAGTATGACTAAATATAAACTACTTAGTACCACTGTCATTACTGACTGATTTTATCCAGTCCAACAGAAAGTATCAGGTTGGTAGTTTTATCTGGATACTAACTTTAATGTTAAGAAAGCTTTCGATTATACGGCAGCAAGCAAAAATGTGACATCAATTACGTGAACTGGGATTACAATAATATAACTACCCCTTGCACCAAGCGGGTGAGGACCCTAGTTGACAGTTTAACACGATGTGATTGGTGGTTTACACACACAGCTTTTACATACATATCACTTTCATTATCAAAATACTTGATAAAACTAGAGGATGCTAATTAAGTAACTAACTAAAGTCAGAAAAGAAAACTTCATCTCTTCACACACACTGCTTAACTTACAAAAACAACTAAGGGTTATGAAACGGACTCACTAGAACAAAATTCCAACAAAAGAAGCTAAAACATAGAAGAAAAACAAAAAGTTTCTATACAGCATTGTTGACTTCAACACCATAAACACTCTCATCACTGTATGCTATGTATAAGAAGAAGTCTTCTTCGTGGTGTTCCTGAATGGAAATAAAAAAAAAATGTTAGAAATAAATACGTATTCATGGCATTTCCATTCATACATATTTTACAAGCTCACATTTCCCAAGTTCAAACTTTTCTGTGGACAATACTTCACACAGAATTCTATCTTACAAGCTTGGGATTCACTATTCATACATTTTTAAGTATGTGCTTGCGATTTCATAGTTTAAACACTATTCAATGGATATTCTCTGTTGAATTTTTTATCTTATAAGTTACTTCATTACAAGCTAAGTACTCGATGAATTTGAATTAAAAACTTTATCTTTGAGAATTATATCAAACTTGATACAATGTTGTACATTGCAGATAAATAAAAAAATATTCAGCCTGATCGGGTCAAAAGTTTTAGAGGTTAATATTTTTCCAATGAGAGATCTCCTCAACTTTAAATTAAACTTTTGGATTAGCTGTCACTGTGTCATTTTATTAAAACTGTATGAGAATTAGAGAAACTATATACAAAATGCATATGGAAAAATAAATAATAATGGTTACTTCTAAACATATTTTGACCTTGACTGCAACTTTCAAGTATAATTGTAAAAATATTTTCATGGAAAGGTCATTGTCTCTAAGAACTACAGAAAAGTTACATTGTGTTTTCTATAAAAAAAAAAACAAAAACAAAAAAAAACACCCTTTCTATTCTGAAGGAATCTAAACAATATTAAAATACAACGACCTTTAATCTTGGAACAAAAAGCTATTTGATTCACATGACCATGATAACAACATTAGAGGAAAGTCAATTCATTTTCTTCCACATAATAATAATATTCGTGTGACACACGTGGAAGTACATGGCAGA